ATGCAGCTGCTTGGCTGGAGCAACTGCACCTCAACCGGCTTTTACCATTCCGGAAACATGAGGTGCGAATAATTTAGGGCAAAAACCTACTTGTAGTCCCTCATCTTATTAAATTTGAAAGTTTTAATATTTTATTTTATACCATGACACTTTTAATCCCTCATCTTACTAGATTTATAGGTTTTAAACTTTCACTTATTAAAAAAAAAAAAGCATCACTTAATACTGACTATTAACTCTGTTAGTTGAAAATAGATTTTATCAACTAACAGTCAACTAATAGCTAATTAACAGAATTAACAAAATATTATTAAATTAATTATATTAAATCTGTTAATTAAAAAAAAATTTTTAACAACTAATAACCAGTTAAAAGAGTTAACAATCAACTAACATAATTAACAAAATATTACAAAATGATGGTTATCTTCTTCAATTTTAATATGTGATGGGCTAAACATGTTATAATATAAGATTAGAGATTAAAATTTACAAATCTAAGTAAGGTAAGAAATTAAAAATGTTATATTATAAGGTAATGAGTTAAAAGCTTAAAATTTAACAAAATGAGGGGCTAAAGACTTTAGCCCATAATTTAGTCGGCAAAACAGTGTTTAACTAATAGGTACTTTTTGTATTGGGTTCGAGTAACACTTGGTCCTTAATAAATTTGCTGTCTAATTAAAGTCTAGACGAGTGATAGCAACTTCCAGGAAAATCAATTTTCCAGAAAATTGCATATCACACACAGCCTAAAGCAGCATTAGAAATACAAAATTACAAATTCAAATCTTAATTTTATCAATAAATGCCCCTACTTGTCATCCTTAGAAAAATCAACCTATTTATCAGCCGCTATGTACACATAGTATTGAACATCAATAAAGTTATTGAAGCCATTGGTTAGGACTAGGATACAAGCAGGAACTACAATGAGATGATGACACAAGCAGTTCAGTGTCATTCATCTTTCATGGCTAGTTCATGTCTCTTTTTCTGCCCAACTTCCACAAGCAATGTCAATAGCGCCTCACACACTTGGGCAGCATCAGCTTGAGAAGGATCATCATTTAATGAAGAATAAACCATCCATGCATGATCTAATTTACGTTCTGGTTTCACTACCACGGATCCTGGGACTTCTGCATCACGACATGTCACAAGCCCATCACTCTTCTCACCATACCTGATTTGCAGCAACTGGGCACATGCAGCCATTACAGCACCAAGGGGCATAACCACAGGGAGTCTTGTGGGCTGGCCTGAAGAGATGGGAGCCATCAATGGTAGCTCTGCATGAGCAACATGGGATAGCGTGGCCAGTACTGTAGGACTGATGCCAGCTTCTGTGTGGAATGAAACAACAGGAAGCTCCTTTGGTAAATGGTATTTCTTCAAGAATTCCTTCCTCCTCTCATAAGTCAAGTCTTCCAAAGCTTGCAAGTCTCCCTTCACAATTAAAAAGAAAGCATTTGAAGTGCTAAAAACAATACTATTACTTTAACTACACTTCCGATGAAAATTACATTAAAGAGCAACAGACTAACCACACCCACATGTAATTGCTAATTAACTCTTCCCTGTCCCATCTGGCCCCTTTCCCTAAGTTGTTATCATCTTTCAGTGAGTTACCTTTCTAGTTCTTTCAACTGTATAATTCAAACTTATTATCAAAAAAGTTACCTTTCTAGTTCTTTCAACTGTATAATTCAAACTTATTATTAAAAAAAAAAAAGAAAAACCTATATAATTCTAACTATAAGTACTTAAGTGGGTAATAATCTGTACAGCAGATGCTATATTAAAATCACATCCCTCAATCATTTTCCTTCTCAGGACAATACTTATCCATGCAACTCCTGCATTGCCTTCTCCTCAGAACTCTATGGTCATAGTATTTATTTAAGTTAATCAGGGGCAATTGTACAGATTACCATTGTTGACCATAATTAATTACTAAAAGACCCACCAAAATACCATTTCAAAGTGTTCTAACTGCCTCCTATGGTAACTTCCAAAATTGACAATAACATAATTGCTGACAAATCAAAATTTATAGATATTCCAGACTAAAAGGAAACCGTAAAAGGTTTCACCCATACCTTAATCACCTTACAAATTAGAATCTCCATAAGTTTCCGTACGTTAAGATAATCACCAAGCTGTCCTTCTCTCAAAATATCAGATGCTATTGGGCTTCCACCGTATGGACTCTGAGCTAATGCCAACCCAGCAACCTTATCTTTCAATTCAGACCAATATATAGATAAAGCAGCTGCTGAATCTACTCCCCCTTTGCTATGTCCAAGAAGCAAAACACGTTTCTTTGAACCCCAATATATTTCTTCAATGTACTCTTTTATCTCTTTGGCATTTTTCTCAACTGAAGCCTGATGAGTAATTGGTCATGTTCAGTACAGTATGTAGAAAGAACACACAGTGCAAGTCAAAGATTAACCCAAAGTACCTCACTATGAATTTTGGCAATATGACAAGTCAAACCCATCTTCGAGAAGCTTGTTTTCGTACTGACAAAGTAAAGAGGCCCATGGTTGCTGAACAAACCTGCCATATCAATATAGCCAAAGGTGATGAGTAGCAAATTTCTATGAAATTCCTCTCTTAACCTAGAAACAGAGAAATTATAACACAGTCAAATATCTCAGACCTGCTGTATTATCTATGAATAAAAAGCTGATACCACACTTCATTATCATTCAAAAATGCCAAATGCAGGGTTAAAGTTTGAATTTAGATTCAAAAGTCAACTCCTCACTCATGATTTGTTTCAAGTTTCTCACATGCAACATAAGTTTCCATAACAAATTTGAGTTTGGTTGTGAGTCAAAAACAGAAGCTTAATAAACCTCTTAAACATGATTAATTGATCATGATTTTTACCATTTTCAACTGCTTTCTACTAAAATACATTACAGCATAAAACCTCCCTTTGACACCTCCCAAAGAAAAAAGAAAGAAGAAAGAAAGAAAGACAAAAGCTCAAAAAATAAAGACTACAAACTCCTTGCTCACAATTAACACTGCAAAACTTTATCAATAGATTAACCTCCAAAATCCTAGTAATGATTTCCTTTTCTCTCTTGCCAAAAAGATCTGTCCAAGATCCTTATGGGGTAGCTGATATTCCAGGATAGATGTTAAAAAAGCCTTAGGATATAATAAGAAAAGTTATGCAAGAAACATAAATTCAAATAGGCTTGAAACATTGGAACTGATGTCAAATTTGCATCATATCTTGATATTTTGAAGCACCTGAGCTTGTAGCTCGATTGGAAAGGTGCATATTTCCCATTTTTGAGAGTTGGGTTAGAAACTTCAAATTCCCCCTCCTTAAGGATTTCAAAAAAAAAAAAGAAGAGGGAATACAAGATAACCCCCTCCCCCCTTCCAAAAGGGAAAAAGAAGAAGAAATTATTAATTTTCTGCGAAGGTACCTGGAACTAATAAATAGACCATCGAGTTTGGCAGTTTGTGCAGACCATGCCTGACAAAGAAAAAACCATATAAATAAACTATACAATCATGCTGTGCAGACATAAAAAATCAAAGATGCTGAGAAACCCACTTTACCTTACGTTATTGAGAATTTCCACAAACCTTTCAGTTCCATCTTCAACTGGAGGCATCTCAGGATCTCGTTGCAGCCATCCTATGTCATCTGCAGATCCACGAACAGTCCTCCGTGCTCGTTCAATAAGACTGAAAATAAAGGTTAGAAGATTGGAAATGTCCATTGGCCAAGTTAAAAAGCTTCATCTAAGATTTACTCTTCACATTGTAGCTACACATCACAGAAAGGAAGCAGGCACACATCAGAAGAAAGGAACATCTATCCTTCATCTGTCTCCAAAGCATCATAACTTACAAAAGGGATCCATTCTTAAGCATAGAGATAGAGACAAACGATACCCTTGGAAAAGAGTAATCCCATTTTGCGGGGCATGATTTGATTGTACAAGTGCACTGGTATTTTCAGATAAATCTTCAGTAGAGGCCCTTGTAAGCCCATCATGGATGGGAGGTGCAGCAGTTACAGAAGTAGAGCATTCAGAAAAGGTTGAGACGCTTCCACTTGAAGACGAATGATCATGAAGAACAGGATTGCCATTTTGTCTAGATGGAAATGTCACCAACTCTTGTGCATGTACAACGGAATCCCTTGAATCTCTGGGAGTAGGTTCCACTGAAACAATTCCAAAACCATTGTGACGAAGCTATCCACTATTCATTATTAAACGAAAAAATAAGAACAAAATTAGATATTAAAGGAGGAAACAATAGAATTTCGAAGGCAATTTCTCAAGCTGGATACAGCAACAGGATTATGTGAGTAATCAAAGCACTCATAATGGATCCACTACATCATTTGGTTGCAGGTCAAAAACATAGGGATTGAAACAGAAAATCCAGTTGTCATGAGTTGCCAATTGTAAATCTTTTGAACATCAATCAATTTTTTTATATTGCTTAGATATTGCTTAGTGTTCCTGTCTATACACACATAAAACATCTTGTTCCCATCCCAAGACATATAAAATTAGACCAGGTACAAAAAATAAGCTAGCATACAACACAAAAGTAATTTTACTTATACAAAGAAAAACATAGGAGATAAACTGGAGCAAAATAGAAACTTACCAGAGTAATCAGAGAAACAACCAGTTATAAAAGAAGTTGTTTGTACAAGATAAGAAGCAGCTTCATTTAGGGCTGGTAAAGAGGTAAATAATTGAGGAACAAACCCATCGCTACTCATACCATCATTCTGTTG